TAAATTATTTTCTCAATAAAAAATACACAAAAATATTTTTTAATTAATTAGGTTTTTTTAGGCTTCTAATTTATTCTCGTATTTAATTCGTCGCACACCTTTACTTTCTTTTAATTCAAATTATTGTAATTGTTTCAAGTTTGTAATAGATTAATTAGGATTTTAATTTCCGCATCTTTATTTTCAGTCAAATATTTGTGCATCTGCCCAAAAGCCTTGTAATAGTTAGAACTTTAATTTCTCGCACTTTTTTAATTTCGCAACTATTAAACTGATAGATGTATGGATATTAGGATTGTATGGGAAAGATAAATCAACGTTAAAAGGTAAATAACCCTAATTATGCAAAGATAATTAACTGGAAAAAAAGCACACTTGCACATGCTTACTCCTAGGGTTTGACCCACTCCGGTTGCCTTCGGTAAACAGTCATGAAGTATAGGGAATTTTAGTGGTCGTCCTCTAGTCCCAAAAGATCCAAAATGACCCTTTCGGATGTTGCCTAAGAAAGATCTTCAGGACTTTGGGGTAATTACTAAAGTTTCCTAACCATTGCTTTTGTGACCGTACTTGTCCCTTCGAATGTCCCTTAAAACTCCAACGATAGGGCTACCTACTCCTTAATAGTAGGATAGCGCTGTCTAAAGGAAACAAGAACGAACAATCTTTTTTCGAGTAGGTAGAAAAACTTAAGTACTTGCTCAAATAAACTCTTTTACACAAACACTTTCAAAACAGTTTTCAAAAAACCAATTTCGTCACACTCTTGAGGATAGATACAAGAGTTATCACGAAGGTAAACAAAACGTTTTTGCAAAACACACACAAGCAATTTCAAAATGATCAAGTACCTAAGAGCCCGTGGAAAACCATGGATAGAAAGGGTGCTAACACCTTCCCTTTCTATAATCTACCCCCCGTACTCAGAAACTCTCGAAAAAAGGTTTTTTCTGTTCTTTTTCCTTTCCTTTGTTGGATGAAATAAAAGTCGGTGGCGACTCTTACTTACCGCGACATTTGTGAACAAAAAATGAAAAACCAGTATTGATAGTCGATTCTGCTACCGTATCACACCAGCTCTACAAAGTCCAACCCATGTACTTTATGAATCTCCATTGCACTCAGACGCTCTTCCAGCTGTTTGTAATTTTTGTCAGCCAAAGGGTGCTTCTCTTCATTGTAATCAGTATCATTATCAGATTCCCCTGGACTAGGGTCTTCCTCTCTTGTCTCACCCTATTGGTTCTCTCCTTCCTTGGATGAAGAGGTCAGATAACCTATTTGCTTCAACGGTCCCTTGAATCTTCTTCCTATATTTACCACACCAGATGTCCTCCTTGGCTTCTTGGTCTTGTCTTTAACAATCAAGACTTTCAATTCCTCTATCCCTTTGGCTAGAGCCATGATCATCTGTTGGAATTGTTCATTATGATTCTGTAAGTCCTTCACAGTTTGTTTGAGAGCCATGCCTGAAATAAACAGCAAAGAGGATGAGAAACCTGCTTTGACACCTGTTTATGCAATGATATGTATGATATGTGTATGCAATGATTTCAAGGATTTCGGGAAATTTAAATTTGCGAACCAAAATGAAACAAATATTTTATTAGTAAAATTCAAAATAAAATTTCCTTTTAGGCGTTTCAATTGAAGGTTCAAAAACTTAAAACAATATCAGGTTTTCCATGGGCGCTTCTTCTTCGCGCCGAGATAGACGTTAAAGCTTCTTTCCTCATGAAGTTGCTTTGTGAGCTATAAAACTTTCCTCTCATGGGCATAGAAATGGTCCCTAAAGGTACCCCTCTCTTTCTTCAGCTGAATCCAGGATCTTTGTAAAAGCTACTCCTGCTACTCCTAAGATTGCTAAGGACATACCAAGAATAGCCTCTTTGAAGGATGATCAGACTATTGTAGAAGATGGAGGTTGCACTATCTGGGGATAACTTTCTGATATCCCCTACAAATCCGACAAATTTGGGCTGGGTTTCACTTCAAAAGCTCAGAAAGAGGTTTGTCGTGTTCACGCTGGAGGACCACCTCTCTGTATTAGCAATAATGAAGTCAACGCTCTGGAGGACACTAATAGTGATGGTGATTTGGACGACTAGATATTCCCAACTACTGACGATGGACTCAATAACTGGATAATTAAGGACTTTGTACCACTCTCCTTCAGCCAAGAGTAATTGCTATTTCCTATTTTTATTTCTTTAAGAAGTTTGTTTATAATTTCTTTTAAAATAATGACTTTAAACCTTGTTCCTTGTCCGGGGCACAATGGTCCATTTGTTAAGGGTTTCCATTTCATATATCATATGCTCATTTAATGAAAACATTAGACAATTTTGCATTCAAATTTTGCGCTCCTTGTCTTTCTTTTACTTTAGTGCATTTTCAAATAGCCATGTGACCTTACACGCACACACACATTTATAGATCCATATCCACTCCGGATCTCATTGACAACAAGTCTGCTATTGTTGTTTATGACTTCGAAAATCCAATCTATCAAGCCGAAGACGAAGGTGAAGAAGGTTGAAAGATACCTGGAGAACTTTCCAGACTCCTGATACAAGAGAAAAAGGCTATCCAACCACATGAAGAACCAGTCAAGTGATAAACTTGGGTACTGAGGCAGATAAGAAAGAAATCAAGATTGGTGCCAACTTGGAAGACAATGTCAAGAGCAGATTAGTTCAGATGTTGCACGACTATGTTGAGGTATTCACTTGGTCGTACAAACAGATGCCAGGGCTCAATACTTATATCGTGGTTCATCATCTGCCAATGAAAGAGGGTTGTTCTCCGATCAAACAAAAGGTTCATTGCATGTATCCTGATATGTCAGAAAAAATCAAGGCGGAGGTAATGGAACAATTCAATGCAGGTTTCTTGGATGTGACGTCGCATCCCCAAAGGGTTACAAATGTTGTTCCAGTACCGAAGAAAGACGGTAAAGTCCATATGTGTGTAGACTACCGGGATTTACATAGGGAAATCCCCAAAGGTGACTTCCCACTACCATATATTGATGTCTTGGTTGACAACACTGCTCAACACAAGGTATTATCCTTCATGGATGGCTTCTCCGAGTACAACCAAATCAAAATGTTTCCTGAAGACATGGAGAAGACTACCTTTGTCACACAGTGGGGAACCTTTTGTTATAAGGTCATGACTTTTGGGATGAAGAATGCAGGCAGAACTTATCAACGGGCTATGGTGGCTTTATTTCATGACATGATCCATCATGAGATATAAGTCTATGTTGATGACTTGATAGCAAGATCCCAAACTAAATAAGAGCACCTTGATCATCTGCACAAGTTGTTTGAGAGATTGAAGAAATACAAGCTGAGGTTGAATCCAAACAAATGCATCTTTGAGGTGAGGTCCGGAAAGCTCTTAGGTTTCGTCGTCAGTGGAAAAGTGTTGTACCCCAAAAATTTCCCTCCCATTTTTCATTCAAGATGCTATCCTAGGGTTTCTTAAATACTCAAAATGGCTTAGAGTTTGATCATATAGATTCTCTTCCTAGGCATTGAGTCAGCAACTAGAATTTGGTATTTCACAAGAAAAATTGAGTTTTCTAGGTTTCAAATGGTCCTCATAGTTCTTCATGTATCCTCAAGGATGTTCGTGCAAGTTTTCAAACTTCGCATTGCAAGTTTGCTCAGTCGATAGTTCAGATGACTAAAAATCAACTGCCTTGTTCAAAAGTCGACATTTTCAAGATCAAATTCAAATAGTTTTAACTTCTTTATTATTCGATATTTTTGAGTGATTCTTTTTGCATATGACTCTCCTTCACGTCATCTCCAACTTCTCTTTACAAGTCAAGAGCCTATTACGTGCAAAAGATTATTAGAAATTCGAATGCTTTAATGAAATGTCATCTACAAATTTCCTTAAAGATTGGAGTCAAATTATGCTTTGAATGCTGTGGAATTTATTGAAAAATTATGGGTCATGTTTTGATTTGGAAAAATTCTCAAATTTTAATTTCCATTCATATCATGACGGGATTTTTCAAAGCGCCGTTTGATCATGTGAATTGATGTACAAGTGCAAATGTGCGGGATTTATTGAATTTGAATCAAGAACGGGTTCAATGTTGTGAAATTTTCTTTTTAGTACCCAATGCCATAAAATCAAATATCCAAGTTCATCAAAATTAAATTGCAATATCGATTCAGGAAGATTTATGAATTTGGAATTTTGAGAAAAATGCACCCTAAGTTCTAGAGGATTATTTCAAGATTGCAAGAACAAAGTGCAAGATATTTTTTTACTTGCATCACAATTCAAGATTCAAATATCATTCAAGTTTCAATTCAAATTCAAATAATTCAAATGGAGGGAATTTTTCTTTGCTTGAATAAAGGTTAACATTTTCTTAGAACACTTTGAATTTGGAAAGGGAATCATGAAGTATATCACTCATGCTACAAGAAACAATTCATAAATTCTCAATACATATTTTCTTCAACTTACAAGAATATTTCAAGATCCATAAAGTTTGAGACTTTAAGCATTACCTTCAAGGAAATATGAATGTGCTTTAATTCAAATAATAAGGTTATGATTGAATTGGATTCAAGAATTACAACTTATATCAATGGAATATTTGGAGTTTTTCATAAAGATTTCAAAAAATAAAACCTAAATCCTAAAGCTACCAAGATTCCAAACTTTGCTTCATGCAAGCTATTATCCCCTTGTGCTACTGCTTCCCTACACATTGCAGTCCAAAAATCAGCCCTATACCAGCTGCCAAAAACCTGCATAAACCAGACCCTAATCAGTCTAAAACAAGTTGCACATTAGTTCTGTCAAACCTGCACAAATAGTCCAAAAACATGCTGCCAACTGTTACAATTCTGCACAAAAAACTGCCCAAAAAATCTGCATCAAAACCTTGTGCCACCGCTGCCCATAAAACTATCAAAAGCAGCCTGCATTAGCTGCAAAAAACCTGTATAAAACAGCCCAAAAATATGCTACAAAATTGTCCAAAACCGTGTATAAAGCCAGCAAAACAAAACTGCCATAAAAAGTCCAGTTTCAGCATACCCAAATTGTTTGAAAAAAATTATCAATTTTCCCCCCCAAAAAATGTTATTTTCATTTACTATAACATAATATAGAAGCAACAGGGAGAGGGAGACATATACATACATACAAACCGCAACTTTCAACTTCATACACTACAACCTTTTCTCTTTATCTCTCAATGATCATATAAACCTTTCATCCATCTAAGTTCATGTGATAAAGAAAACAACCATTTTTTTGTGATTACTCTTTCTGTTTGTAAACCAGCAAGTCCCAACAACTTCCAAACAATTATTTATAACATCACATTTTTTTCCAGAAATCAAGGAAAAGAAGAAAGAAGTATCATTATCTCACCTCTAGATTTCTTTGTTGCTTCATCAGCATCGACATCAGAGAACTGTCGGGTTAACTCCAACCTCGTAATCCTCCCTTTCTCGATTCATACATTTAATTATGCTTTGTATTACTTTGATTTGTTGCTGTTCTTTTATTATTTATGTTGCTTGTTCTGCTGCTGTTTACAGTTTTTGATTAGCTGTATAAATATAAATGTTAGAGAAATATAGAAATTGGATATTTTTGTTGTTAAGTCACTGTAAGATTGAAGAAATAAACACATAACCTGCAATAACATTAACAATAACACCTCAATAACAATCTCTCCACCAATTCCCATCCTCTCATTGCAACACTATCCAACCTGCAACTTCCTATTCCCCTCACCATATACCCTTCCTCTCTCTGTCAAACAACCAACAGTAACCATCACCTTTGTCTCCGTGTTAACCTCACCCTAATCGCCCTTTCAATCCATCAACAATCACCCCATCAATTACCGTAGCCCAGAACTCTCTCATAACCTTCAACTCCATTCCAAACTCCATCAATCCGCCAGTGTTACCTCTTTAATTTCTCCAAACACCCTTCTCAAACTGACTTTTATTCCGCTTATTCTTATCTCAATAGCTTCTTTCACTCTCCTTTTCGCATTTTCAATAATCGTGTTTTGTTTCTCTCTCTGCATCATGCTTTTTAACTCAAAACGCGATTGCAGATTCAACCACCATGTTTGCCATCCACTTTTCAGATTTAGAGAATTAAGTTGATGGGGGAACAAAATCAGAGTGCAAAAGAAGAAGAGAAACATAGGGAGTTGTTTTCGTGGAAGAGGAGAGAAACATGGAGAATTTTTTTCTTCTCTTTTTTTTCCCCCAATGTTATGAAAGGAGAGAGACAAATTGATTTTATTTGTTTTGTTGATAAAAAACCATTAATCAAAAATAAAAAAGACACAAAAAATAAGAAAAAATAATTTTTTCCTCTTCCCTAGACTACTCCCTGCGGCGCCTTCTGCTTAGTGTTAGGGTTACAACTTTCTCTTGTCCATTCCAAAACCGGGTCAACCCCCATTGGGCTTTTTGGCCCAATCACCCAATCGAGTTATCATTTATTTCCTTTTGTATTATTAGGTTAATAATAATAAATGAATAGTAACTTAGCTCAGCTAGCAAAACACATTATCCATTACCCTCAAAGACCCGAGCTCGATCCTTGTTGGGGATTTTTCTAATTTCTTTTACTCTTTTAAGCCTTTTTTTCTTTCAATTCTAGTAAATTTGATTATTTACATAGTTTAGTTTATTATAATTATTATTTCATTATAAACTACAACAAACATGTCATTAAATCTTTTAGAATATCAAATTTGTTTAGATTTTTTTAATTCAATAATATAAATCTCAATTTATTTAGTTTATTTTCTTAATTAATATAGATAGGGATTTTTGTAAATAATTTTATTAATTGGCTTTTTGTTTAGTCTTAAATTGTTTGTTTAATTTCTTCATAATAAAAAATACCAAAAGATAAAATATATATAAATAATTTAATTTCTTTAATCAATTATTTTCTTTAATAGAATAGAATTTTATTTTTCTTTCCAACTTTTTCAAACAAAATACCTAGAATTTTATTTCCATACTTTGTTAATTAATTTTTACTTCATAGATTGTTGTAGTTTTAATTAATTGTTCGATTCGATTTGGTTGTATTGATTGCCTATTTGGACTTTTAATCACATTGATTCATCCCCATTTGTAAATTTGTACCCCCATTCCCGAAAGCTCTGTAATAGCGTAGAATTTTAATTTCTACAATTTACTATTTTTCTTTATACTGTATAGTAATTAGGCGTGTATGACAAGATTTAAAATCAACTGCTAGATAAGCTAATTTCAAGATAATTCAATTGAAAACAAATCACTTTCACACGCGCACCTCTAGGGTAACCTCGCTTGTTGCCTTGGAAAAACAGTCATGTCCCTCGAATGTGGGACACTTTAGAAAATACCCTTTGATAAAAAATATCGTAGTCCCTCGATGTTACCTTCAGTAAAATGATCTAGTCCCACGAAAATTGTTAAAGCATCTCACAAGCTGCCTTCTATGACTGTACGATTGACCCGCGTATGCCCCATCACATCCAATAATAGGGTTTTTTTACCAATAAATGGTAAGATAGCAACATCTAAAGGAGGAGGGAAAGAACAAAGACCTTTTGAGTAGGTAGGACACTCGTGGTTGCTTGCTCACAAATTAAAACCATTCCCACACTTACACTTTCAAAACATCTTCAAAAACAAATATCTCTTTGAACTATTTTCAAAACCAACACTTTGTATACATTCTTATAGAGACGAGAATCATTACAAAGTTTTCCGAAACAAAGGTGTTGTCAAAATATTTTCAAATTTGCACCAATCATAAAACATATTTTCAAACAAAGCATTTACAAGTGATCTAGCAAGCAACTAAGAGCCCGTAGATAACTACAGATGAAAAGGGTGCTAACACCTTCCCTTTTCATAATCTACCCCCCGAACTCAAGAAAATATCTCAAAGGTCTTTCCTGTTCTTTTCACCCTTTCCTTTATTGGATAAAAGAAAAGTCGATGGCGACTCTTGCTATCCGCAACAATTGCAATCAAACACAAAATACCCAAGCCATTTCTCGCACCGTATTATACAAAGGTATTGAGGTTGATCCTGCAGAAGTCAAAGCTATCCAAGAAATTCGAGCTCCCCGTACTGAGAAGGAGGTTAGAGGTTTCATAGGACGACTCAACTACACTGCCTGATTAATTTCTCACCTGACTGCTACTTGTGAGCTACTCTACAAGCCGTTGAAGATAGTTCAAGTAGTAAAATGGAATGACGACTATCAAATAGATTTTTACAAGATCAAAGAATACTTGCAAGAACCTCTAATTATGATGCCACCAGTTGAAGGAGACCTCTAATCATGTACTTAACCGTGTTAAAGAATTCAATGGGGTGTGTGCTGGGTCAGCATGACAAGTCTGGTCGAAATGAGCATGCAATATACTACCTTAGCAAAACGTTTACCAACTGTGAAACAAGATATTCATTGCTCGAGAAAACTTGTTGCACTTTGGCATGGGCTGCTCGCCGACTAAGACAATATATGTTGACTCATATCACTCTATTGATCTCTAAGATGGATCCCATCAAGTACATCTTTGAGAAGCCAAATGATCCCAATGGACTATGGTTTTTTATGGAGCTTCTAACGCACTTGGAAACATAATTGGTGTTGTGATCATTTCTCCTGAGGGCTTCCATTCTCCTTTCACTGCCATAATTTTCTTTGAATACACCAATTACATGGCCGAATATGAACCGTGCATCTTGGGTCTTAAGGCTACTATCGACTTAAGAATCAAATTCCTGAGCGTATATGGAGATTCAGCCTTGGTAGTCAGTCAAGTTAAAGGAGAATGGGATACAAAACATCCAAATCTTATCCCTTACCGAGAAGTTATGCTAATATGGATCCCTTAATTTGAAGAGATTAGCTTTGAACATATCCCGAGGGAAGAGAATCAGTTGGCAGATGCTCTAGCTACCATGTCATCCATGTTCAAGGTCAGATGGGACAACGAAGCTCCCCGAATTACTGTCGAAATATTTGAAGAACCAGCACACTGCTACAAAGTTGATACTGATGGAGTAGAAGACAAGCATTGGTTTCATGAAGTGAAAAGGTATCTTGAAGCTCAAGAATACCCTGAAGGGGAATCAATCAATGATAAGAAATTCCTGCGGAGGTTCTCAGCCAAATTCTTCTGGAGCAATGTAATTTTATACAAGTATAACCCTGATTCAACCCTGCTCCGTTGTATGGACCAGAAGGAAGCAGAGAAAATTATGGAGAACATGCACGAAGGCATCTTTGGAACTCACTCTATTGGACATACTATGGAAAAGAAGATTCTGAGAGCTGGTTACTATTGGTCGACCATGGAAACCGATTGTTATCATCACTCAAGAAGTTTCCATAAGTGCCAGATTTATGTTGATAAGGTCCATGTGCCTCCAATCCCTTTGAATTTCATGACTGCTCCTTGGTCATTTGCAATGTAGGGAATTGATATGATCATAGAAATCAAGCCTACTACTTCTAATGGACATCGCTTCATTCTCGTCGCCATTGACTACTTTACAAAATGGGTTGAATCGGCTTCATTTGCCTCAGTTACCAAGAATGTTGTAGCCCGGTTCATCAAACATAACCTTATCTATCGTATGGCATCCTTGAGAGGATCATCACTGACAATGGTACCAACCTCAACAACGCCATGATCACTAAACTCTGCCCGCAGTTCCATATCAAGCATCACAACTCTTCTCCATACAGACCTAAGAATAATGGCGCAGTGGAAGCCGCCAACAAAAACATAAAGAAGATTATGCAAAAGATAGTGGTAACCTACAACGACTAGCATGAGATGTTACCATTTTCTCTTCATGGCTATCGTACTTCGGCGCGAACATCAACTAAGGCAACCCCATTCTCTCTTGTCTATGGCATGGAAGTTGTCCTGCCTATCAAAGTTCAAATCTCTTCTCTAAGGATTATGAAAGAGGCAGACCTAGACGAAGAAGAATGGATTCAGACTAGGATGGATCATTTGAATTTGATTGATGAAAAGAGGCTGGCTGCTATTTGTCATGGTCAAATATATCAAAAACTTATGATCAATGCATTCAACAAGAAGATCAAGCATCAGGTATACCAGGTTGGTGACTTGGTAATAAAGAACATCATTCTACCACAAGGAGGACC